GTCCGTCTGTCCGTCTGTCCGTCTGTCCGTCTGTCCGTCTGTCCGTGTACACGATAACTCGAGCAAAAATTGAGATATCTTAACGAAATTTGGTATGTAGGTTTCCCTTAATCCAAGGTAGGTTGGTATTGAAAATGGGCGAAATCGGACTTTAACCACGCCCACTTCCCATATAACGGTAATTTCCAGAAATACGAAAACTGCGATATTTTAGTAACTACTAAAGATAATTCACTCAAAATTGATATTTATAATAAGTTTTAGACGAAAAATAAGAATATTATAAATTTTTGGAAAATGGGCGTAGCCACGCCCACTTATGGTTACATGTGTATATCTTGGTAACCGCTGCACCAATTTCTTCCAAACTTGGCACAGTTGTTGGCCCTGGTACAGCATAAAAAATCGCCGAAACTTTTTAAAATCGGACAATAACCACGCTTACATCCCATATAACGGTAATTTAGAGAAATACAAAATCTTCGATAAATCAATAAATATTGAAGCTAATTTATTCAAAATTGATACTTGCAACAATTCTTTACCAAGAAATACGTTTATGGTAAAATTTTGGAAAATGGGCATGGCACCGCCCACTTATGATCACATATATGTATATCGGTAACCGTTCTACCAATTTGTACCAAACTCGGTGTGGTTATTGTGCTTGCCACATATAAGCAAAACGTTGAAAATTATTGAAATCGGACCAAAATAACGGCCGCTTCTCATATAACGGTAAATTTCAGAAATGCTTGAAACTTCAATATTTCGAAATTGAAGGACGCTAATTTACTCAAAATTGATACACCCCGGCTTACCATCTAGCGGAAGGTTTCGGAAAGGTGAAAAAACATATTTAATACTTGCGCCGGGTATTTAATGTTCGGCTCCGCCCGAACTTAGACTTTCTTACTTGTTTTCTTATTAAATTCGATCAAACGCGGGGATACGTGGCGTATGAGCAACCAACTTCGCTGCTCATACTTAATGTGACCAACTATTTCATAGCTCAAAGAAGTACTTTGCTGCTCATACCTAATGTGACCAACTATTTCATAGCTCAAAGAAGTACAGGTTAGATTAGGTTAAGTTAATGCCGCGAGCCGATTACGAAATTTCGAATGCGGCTTATTTCGGTCCCTGAGAGCTCAGCGTTTTGTTCAGAAGTGCGAGCCAAAATGCTTCCATCTTAGCCTCGCGAAGGTTGGACAGTCTAAAAGAAAGTGTGGAGATGATTCCACTTCATCTTCCTCTTGACAGCTGATACAAAAGGATCAGTCGAAATTCACACAATGGCCAGTCAGAATCCTCATCACTAGCCCTTCAGAGGTAACGTGTTTTAAAATGTCCCATAAAAACATTTTCTGCAGCAGAAAAACATCTTGACATATGAGTCATACTTCGTACAAAAAATATAATTTTACAAGTATGTAGTAATTAAGCGAAGTATGTAGGTAATTCCTTCCCACTATACTAATAAGTAAGTTGCTCATATGTCATTTAGTTTTTTAGCCTTAAAATTTAAATAGAAAACTCTACTAACAATAACCTAAAATGAAATCGAAAAAGCGCAGTATTTAATTAAAAATTATTTATATTTTTTTTTTGTATCTTCATAAAATGTATAATTTTCCTAAATTTTGCTGGTAAATTTACTTTCTTCAATTTACGTTTAAATTTTTGCTCTTAAAAACCATAAAATACTGATGTATGAAAACGGAGAGATACGAGTGTGTTTGAGACTTTTTCCGGAACGTTTGTTACAGAACTTCAATTTCATTCGAATTTAAAAATTGGAGTTACCACTTCTACTACCCGATTTACAAACGTAGCTCGAGTTACAGAAACCGCAACTTATACAAGTTCGATTTATAGAAGTTAGGCTGTACTTTCACTAACTTGAACAGTATTCCTTTTACTCTTGGTAGAAATCTCCAATACAAGAACTTTACAAGTCCAACATTTTTAAAGCTAACCTTATTAATTGTATATTTCTATGTCATGTTTAATTTCTTGCAAAATACTTACTAAATCTCTAGAATGAAATCCATTTTTACTTTTTACCACTCGCACATGCCTCATTTGCACAGACCACTGCTCAAACAAATCAAAAACTCCGCCGAAGCGCACATCGTACTCGACTGTTCCACCGATAAAATTTACGAAGTACTCAAGCAAGCTCAACAGATTGGCATGATGAGCGATTACCATAGCTATCTCATTACTTCACTCGACCTGCATACCATCAACGTAGACGAATTCCGTTATGGTGGCACGAATATAACCGGATTTCGGCTGATTAACGAAAAAGTCGTCTCGGATGTGGTACGTCAGTGGAGTTTTGACGATAAAGGTTTACAACGCTCAGCTAATTTGAGTACGGTGAGGGCGGAGACAGCGCTCATGTATGATGCAGTACATCTATTCTCTAAAGCGCTGCATGATTTGGATACATCACAGCAAATTGACATACATCCCATTAGTTGTGATGGACAGAATACCTGGCAGCATGGTTTTAGTTTAATCAACTATATGAAGATCGTCGAAATGAAGGGACTAACTAATGTTATCAAATTTGATCATCAAGGCTTTCGCACCGATTTCGTGTTGGATATTATTGAATTAGGGCCGAATGGTATACGCAAAATTGGCACATGGAACTCAACATTACCGGAGGGTATCAACTTTACGCGTACCTACAGCCAAAAACAGCGCGAAATTGAAGCGAACTTGAAGAACAAAACGCTGACGATCACAACAATATTGGTGGGTGTTAGTAGAATTTCATTCTATTATAAATATAATATCTTTTCTTTCCAGAGTAATCCATATTGCATGCGAAAAGAATCGGCAGTGCCGCTGTCGGGTAACGATCAATTCGAAGGTTACGTTGTTGATCTGATACATGAAATTTCAAAGGCGCTGGGTTTCAACTACAAAATTCAGCTAGTGCCAGATGGCAACTATGGCAGCTTTAACAAGCAAAATGGGTAAATTATTCATGAATAAGATGTAGTTTTAAAAAGTGTACGCAAATAACTTCTTACTCTAGCGAATGGAATGGCATGATACGCGAGCTGTTGGAGCAACGCGCCGATCTTGCTATCGCTGACCTCACCATTACTTTTGAGCGCGAACAAGCGGTAGACTTCACCATGCCCTTCATGAACTTGGGTGTGTCAGTGCTCTATCGCAAACCTGTTAAGCAGCCGCCGAACTTATTTTCATTTCTTTCGCCGCTTTCGCTGGATGTTTGGATCTATATGGCCACCGCTTATTTGGGTGTTTCAGTGCTGCTTTTCATTTTAGCGCGGTAAATATTGAATTAAATAATAATAATAGATTGGCGCTTACACATATGTTAGTGTTTGGCCGAGCTTCTCCTACAGTTTTTTTGCGATGTTGCTTTGACCAGGGTTTGAACCGAGGTGCTGCGGAGTGGAAGCGCGCACTGCTTACCACTACACCACAGCGACCGACTTGATTACGTCCATATAATCTCTTGATCAGCTTTATTCGATTTTCTCCTATCTTTTTAGCTTCACACCCTACGAATGGCCAGCATATGCGGATGCGCATGGCGAGAAGGTCGAGAGCCAATTTACTCTCATGAATTGCATGTGGTTTGCTATTGGTTCGTTAATGCAGCAAGGTTGTGACTTCTTGCCGAAGTAAGCCGAGTTGTTTTACTAAATTTGGCAAATCTTTTAATGCTATACTTTATTCTTTTTCTAGGGCTCTGTCAACACGCATGGTAGCTGGCATATGGTGGTTCTTTACCCTAATCATGATCTCCTCGTACACAGCCAATTTGGCAGCGTTTCTCACTGTTGAACGGATGGACTCCCCTATTGAGAGTGCTGAGGATTTGGCTAAACAGACACGAATCAAGTATGGTGCTCTTAAGGGTGGCAGTACGGCAGCATTCTTTCGGGTGAGTACCTAGTTAATTCAGAGTGTAATCTTTTGCTGCAATCCTCCTCTGTTGCCTAGTGCTATTTTGGCTGCATAGAGAGTCAATATGGCTATCATTACTGACTACCGTTTCTAGGTATCTTACTGGTTCCCCTAATCTTGACGTAATACCGTCCATAAGTGATCTCATTATTAAATGTATGGCCCTATTGTGTATGGCGACTGATAGTCGATGGGCAACCATATACTAAAACTCGCATTATGTATGGCGGAATTTTCTGTTTCCCGCTATCGACGATTTTGTTATTTGTTCACATAAATTGTTCAACACATTGGAGCAAAGTTGCCAATTACTTGGAAACGTTCATGTTAAAAAAGTAAATTCGGATGTTTTCTGCGTTTTTCTATATACTGAGACTAATAGCTATACACAATACAAATTACGATACTGGTAGCCATGACTACTAGACCAGCAACTAGACCCCAGTCGCCATACATAATAGGGCCATTACAGACGGTTTGCAACCGAAGTTATCCTTTATTATGCCCTACAATCTATAATTCCTGAAAGAGACCTTTATGCGGTCCTTCGAAGGGATGACACAGACTCTATGCTCTGTGGGTGGAAATTCAGAGCATATAAGCAGCCTTAAACTTACTCTACTGTTGCATGCCCTCAGAACGTTGAGGAGCACCTCCTCGCCTGCGGGGCAAAGTTCTTTTAAGCTTTTTTTTGGCTTTGCCCACTTCATAGGCACGCGTGGTAAGCTTTAAAAGCTCTCTGTATAATTCATATACCGCTGGCTCAAAAAAGAATCTCTATCTGGCCAACACTGCTTTAAAGGGTAATTCTGGCTAAGATAGTTAAAAGTGTAAGACAATTGAAAGAACGTAGGCAGTAGCTAGTTTGAAAAACTTTGTTTATTCTGGCACGAAAGTCTTACAAAACCAAAGCTATCTTTCCAACTTTAATGGTGAAAAGCTCTATTGACAGAAGAGAGAGAAGAGAAGAAGAGAGATCCGAGTCCTCGATCAGCGGATTTTTTTTTATGTAACTAATTTTTTCCTTTTTCATTTAATTTCCTTTTAATTTTTTGTTCTTTTTTAAATTAATTTTCTTTTAATTTTTAGGTTTTATTATTATTCCTTTTAACTTAATTTAATTTTTAGAAACGTTCCTTTTTTATTTTTATTATATTTTCTCTTTTTAATTTCATTTTTGGAATTTATTATTTTAAAAATGGGAAATATTTTTTCTTAAATTTCATTTATTTTTTAATTCGTGTTTTTTCGTTAATATAATATTTTTATACCCGAGCGCACTTGTGCACAAGGGTATATTAATTTTGTTCACATAACGGTTGTTTGTAACAGCCAAAACGAATCGAGATAGATATAGACAAATGTATACATAAATGATCAGGATGAAAAAAGAAATCGATTAAGCCATGTCTGTCTGTCCGTCCGTCTGTCCGTCTGTCCGTCTGTCCGTCTGTCCGTCTGTCCGTCTGTCCGTCTGTCCGTCTGTCCGTGTACACGATAACTCGAGCAAAAATTGAGATATCTTAACGAAATTTGGTATGTAGGTTTCCCTTAATCCAAGGTAGGTTGGTATTGAAAATGGGCGAAATCGGACTTTAACCACGCCCACTTCCCATATAACGGTAATTTCCAGAAATACGAAAACTGCGATATTTTAGTAACTACTAAAGATAATTCACTCAAAATTGATATTTATAATAAGTTTTAGACGAAAAATAAGAATATTATAAATTTTTGGAAAATGGGCGTAGCCACGCCCACTTATGGTTACATGTGTATATCTTGGTAACCGCTGCACCAATTTCTTCCAAACTTGGCACAGTTGTTGGCCCTGGTACAGCATAAAAAATCGCCGAAACTTTTTAAAATCGGACAATAACCACGCTTACATCCCATATAACGGTAATTTAGAGAAATACAAAATCTTCGATAAATCAATAAATATTGAAGCTAATTTATTCAAAATTGATACTTGCAACAATTCTTTACCAAGAAATACGTTTATGGTAAAATTTTGGAAAATGGGCATGGCACCGCCCACTTATGATCACATATATGTATATCGGTAACCGTTCTACCAATTTGTACCAAACTCGGTGTGGTTATTGTGCTTGCCACATATAAGCAAAACGTTGAAAATTATTGAAATCGGACCAAAATAACGGCCGCTTCTCATATAACGGTAAATTTCAGAAATGCTTGAAACTTCAATATTTCGAAATTGAAGGACGCTAATTTACTCAAAATTGATACACCCCGGCTTACCATCTAGCGGAAGGTTTCGGAAAGGTGAAAAAACATATTTAATACTTGCGCCGGGTATTTAATGTTCGGCTCCGCCCGAACTTAGACTTTCTTACTTGTTTTCTTATTAAATTCGATCAAACGCGGGGATACGTGGCGTATGAGCAACCAACTTCGCTGCTCATACTTAATGTGACCAACTATTTCATAGCTCAAAGAAGTACTTTGCTGCTCATACCTAATGTGACCAACTATTTCATAGCTCAAAGAAGTACAGGTTAGATTAGGTTAAGTTAATGCCGCGAGCCGATTACGAAATTTCGAATGCGGCTTATTTCGGTCCCTGAGAGCTCAGCGTTTTGTTCAGAAGTGCGAGCCAAAATGCTTCCATCTTAGCCTCGCGAAGGTTGGACAGTCTAAAAGAAAGTGTGGAGATGATTCCACTTCATCTTCCTCTTGACAGCTGATACAAAAGGATCAGTCGAAATTCACACAATGGCCAGTCAGAATCCTCATCACTAGCCCTTCAGAGGTAACGTGTTTTAAAATGTCCCATAAAAACATTTTCTGCAGCAGAAAAACATCTTGACATATGAGTCATACTTCGTACAAAAAATATAATTTTACAAGTATGTAGTAATTAAGCGAAGTATGTAGGTAATTCCTTCCCACTATACTAATAAGTAAGTTGCTCATATGTCATTTAGTTTTTTAGCCTTAAAATTTAAATAGAAAACTCTACTAACAATAACCTAAAATGAAATCGAAAAAGCGCAGTATTTAATTAAAAATTATTTATATTTTTTTTTTGTATCTTCATAAAATGTATAATTTTCCTAAATTTTGCTGGTAAATTTACTTTCTTCAATTTACGTTTAAATTTTTGCTCTTAAAAACCATAAAATACTGATGTATGAAAACGGAGAGATACGAGTGTGTTTGAGACTTTTTCCGGAACGTTTGTTACAGAACTTCAATTTCATTCGAATTTAAAAATTGGAGTTACCACTTCTACTACCCGATTTACAAACGTAGCTCGAGTTACAGAAACCGCAACTTATACAAGTTCGATTTATAGAAGTTAGGCTGTACTTTCACTAACTTGAACAGTATTCCTTTTACTCTTGGTAGAAATCTCCAATACAAGAACTTTACAAGTCCAACATTTTTAAAGCTAACCTTATTAATTGTATATTTCTATGTCATGTTTAATTTCTTGCAAAATACTTACTAAATCTCTAGAATGAAATCCATTTTTACTTTTTACCACTCGCACATGCCTCATTTGCACAGACCACTGCTCAAACAAATCAAAAACTCCGCCGAAGCGCACATCGTACTCGACTGTTCCACCGATAAAATTTACGAAGTACTCAAGCAAGCTCAACAGATTGGCATGATGAGCGATTACCATAGCTATCTCATTACTTCACTCGACCTGCATACCATCAACGTAGACGAATTCCGTTATGGTGGCACGAATATAACCGGATTTCGGCTGATTAACGAAAAAGTCGTCTCGGATGTGGTACGTCAGTGGAGTTTTGACGATAAAGGTTTACAACGCTCAGCTAATTTGAGTACGGTGAGGGCGGAGACAGCGCTCATGTATGATGCAGTACATCTATTCTCTAAAGCGCTGCATGATTTGGATACATCACAGCAAATTGACATACATCCCATTAGTTGTGATGGACAGAATACCTGGCAGCATGGTTTTAGTTTAATCAACTATATGAAGATCGTCGAAATGAAGGGACTAACTAATGTTATCAAATTTGATCATCAAGGCTTTCGCACCGATTTCGTGTTGGATATTATTGAATTAGGGCCGAATGGTATACGCAAAATTGGCACATGGAACTCAACATTACCGGAGGGTATCAACTTTACGCGTACCTACAGCCAAAAACAGCGCGAAATTGAAGCGAACTTGAAGAACAAAACGCTGACGATCACAACAATATTGGTGGGTGTTAGTAGAATTTCATTCTATTATAAATATAATATCTTTTCTTTCCAGAGTAATCCATATTGCATGCGAAAAGAATCGGCAGTGCCGCTGTCGGGTAACGATCAATTCGAAGGTTACGTTGTTGATCTGATACATGAAATTTCAAAGGCGCTGGGTTTCAACTA